ACAAACCGGTTAAGCAAAGTACCGGAATAACATAGCGTCTCAGGGTAATCCTTACTCAGCCAATTCACTATCCAGTCTAATCGATCGAGTGCGCGACTAGAAATTAGTTCAGAACACTGATTATATCTTTTCTCGTGAAAGACTCTGCCACACTGTTTATAGGCACGTTTAGCAAAAGTGCTTCTACCACAGAGGAGTTTCGCTTGTTCTTCTCGGATCTCATTCTTTTTTATCAATCTTGTTTTTCGCATAATCACAACATGCACATCAGATGAAAAAATGCGTAGAACTCCCAAACTAAATCAAAAAAGTTTAACATCCATGTTTTTCTACGATGTAAGACTCACTATCTGGTTCTTTAACATCTGTCAGTTACAAAGACGATTAAAGTTGACTCACAAATATAATCATTAATTTATACAAAATATAGGGCAAGGTACATAATATTATCAGAAACAGCGACAACGACAAAAATAAAAAATTTTACGGGGCACAAAATATGAACTGTAGTTCTCACCCCCAACCTAAATTGAACATTGTCCCAAATGTTTAGAATTTACCAGTATATGTAGCTTTGAGATGTGGTTGAAAGGTAGAGATCTGTTCATCTATTGACACCTACAAGCAAAATACACAAATTAATCATCTCTACGCAGATTTAGGTTTTCGTTAGGATGAAAACCCTTGATTGTGAGTGCGGACATAAGAAGAACAACTATGTATAAATAGAGTAAACAAATGCAGATCATAAGACAAAGGATTGAATTTTCGGGGAGTATGGTCATGGGGTTGTTGAGAGTTGGGTCGTGTTGCAGAGAACATCATAAAAGAGAGAAGAAGAAGAAGAAGAAAGAAAGAAAAAGGGAAAGTCGATGGGGGAAAAAAAGGTGGGGCCCCTTATAAAGGCGTTCCCGTGGGTCAGTTTTGATCGGGTTTTTTTGACCCAACGTTTTTTTTTTTGTGTCGGTAAGCACGAATCTCGGAGGGATATTCCGGGTCCATTAAAAGAATGGTTTTCACATTTTTAACAAAATTCTCCAAAAATGGTTTCAACCGTTGACCATTAACAGTAAATATATTACCGTTCGAGGGGTTTTTCACTTTTACTGCTCCGTGTCCAAACACCTTTTTGATAATATAAGGTTTAGTCCATTTTGACTTCAACTTACCAGAAAAAAACGGAGTCTTGAATTAAACAAGAAGACTTTTTGAGTAGGTTCAAAAGACTTCCGTACCATGTTCTTGTCATGAAATTTTTTTATCATGGATTTTGCAATCTTAGCATTTTCATATGCTTCATTTCTCAATTCTTCCAATTCGTTAATCTGAAGTTTCCTTGACAGTCCAGCCTTGTTCAGGTCAAAGTTCATTGCTTTAATGGCTTAGTATGACCTATGTTCCAGTTCCATAGGTAAGTGACAAGGCTTGTCATAAACTAATCGATAAGGAGACATGTCTAAAATTATTTTAAAAGCAGTGTGATATGCTCAAAGTGCATTAGTTTGTCTTGACGATTAATCTTTGGGGTCTGGATTTCCCATTTTTTCTAAAATTAATTTGATTTCCCGATTAACCAATTTAGCCTGTCCACTAGTCTGTAGATGACAAGGGGTTGCAATTTTGTGAAAAATCAAGTATTTTTTCATCAAATTTCAGAAATAACGATTACAAAAATGAGCACTCATATCACTTATGATTGATTTCAGAATTTCAAACTGAGACAAAATGTTTTCTTTTAAAAATTTGATCAATGTTTGGTGATCATTATTCCAGTGTGGAATTGCCTCAACTCATTTAGACACAGTCTACGATTACTAAAATGTATAGATAGCCAAATGAGGGAGAAATTGTCTCATAAAATTGATGCCCCAACAGTCAAAAATTTCAATCATTAGAATGAGGTTTAAGGGTATCATGTTTTTTTTTTGAAATGCTCTCCAACTTTTGACATCTATCGCAAGTTAAAAAAAAGGCATGAACATCTTTAAAAAGTGTGGGCCAGTAAAATTCACACTACAAGATTTTTGCAACGGTTTTCCTTGATGAAAACTGACCACCACATGTTTCAGAATGACAAAATATTATTACCTGTCTGTTTTCTTGAGCGGGGATGTAATGTCTTAAGATTTGATCTTTACAGTACTTAAATAAGTACGGATCTTCTCAAAAGAAGTTACAAACCTCCCTCAAATTTTTTTTTTGTCCATGGTGAAGGATGGAGGGAGCGTTTCAGTAGCAATGAAATTAGTAATATCAACGTACCATGAAGTCTTATCAATTATAAATAGTTGTTTATCGAAAAATTTCTTATTGATCGACAATCCATCATCATGAAATTCATACGTCAATCTAGACAGATGGTCTAGCACCACATTCTCAACACCCTTTTTGTCCTTAATAATTAGATCAAACTCTTGGATACTACAACAAAAATTATTTTTTGCGACGATTTTTTTCGTCGCTAAATTAAAAAAAATCGTCACTAATTATTTTTTGTGACGTTTTTTTTGGTCGCGTATTCGTTACAATAGCCTCGTCGCATAAAATATTTTAAGACGCAAATTTATTTTCATCGCAAAAACGATTTTTTGCGACGAAAAAAAGACGCTAAAATTTCAAAAAATGTAGCTAAAAAATATTCCACCAGCGAAAAAAAATAATAATTTAATTAATTTTTCGTGACGAAAAAAAAATCGTCGCAAATAATTTTTTACATAAATAAAAAATGTAAAAAATAATAATTTAATTAATTTTTGGCAACAAAAAAAAAATCATTGCAAATAATTTTTTACATAAATAAAAATATAAAAAGTAATAATTTAATTAATTTTTGCGACAAAAAAAACGTCGCAAATAATTTTTTACATAAATAAAAATGTAAAAAATAATTAAATAAATATATTTTCGACTTATAAAAATCGTTGCAAAAAATATTGTTCCAACATTTTTTCGCGATGATTTTAATTTCGTTGCAAAAAAATTTATTTTTGTTAAAAAATAATTCATAAAAAAAGATATTCTAATAAAAATTTTCACCGATATACCAAATATACTTGTGTTCAATAAAAAACTAACACAATTAATACATTTCACATCTTTTAAAAAAAAAAAAATTTTATTTCCAAAAAGAATGAATTACAAGAATCAAAGAACAAGAAGTTTTAAAAATAGAAAAAAATGGCTTGAATCCTTCAAGAAGATTTAAACGATCTCTAATTACATTTAATGTCTCTTAAACTTGAACAGCTCCAGCAGTCCAACTCCATGCCTTAAAATACCATCTCCATATCGTATCAAGCAAAAAGGCTCTTGAAAGTCACATTCCTCAATGACTTAGGCTTACGAGGGGTGAACTAGTGTTGCTGCTGTTCTAGTGCTTCTTCCTCTTAAAGGCCTAAACACACAACATACAAATAGTATCATAAGCAAGAAATTAAATATTCCAATTATAAAAATAACCAGCCAAATAAGGCCAACATTAAACCATGATAATAACATTAGTAAAAATACTGGTGACCAGAAGAAAAGAAAGAAGGCAACTAATCTCAAGTTTTCCAGGTGCAACGACCAAAAGATCAGCCCACCTCAGCTTTCAATATATCAGTACAATTATAGAAAACAAAGTTTTAACACACCAGAGGTGCTATTAGGTGGCTAATTCAGTAAAATACAGATGTGGATGTGCATAATTTACAGTAAGAAAAGAAAATAAAAGAAACTAATTAGGACACATGTAAAACTTGCACATGACACTGTTTAGTCAACAGGGGAAAATGAGCTCAAGCGTACCAAAGAAAGATATTTTAAGTTCATATGCAACAATACATGCAAATACTCTAATCGAGGTGAAACCTTAGCATGTTTACAGCTCAAAGGTGATCGTGCATAATGAGTGGATTAAAGCTTACTCAAAACCTGGAGAGGCGTTTCCATAATGCATAAAAACATGCAAGTTTGGAATGGTGTTTGTAAGTAAAGATGGGCTCATAAAGACTTTTTCACGTATAACTAATAACAGGGAACATGTTCAATGCAAAGGGGTGGAAGTCTAGAAATCTTTTGCCCAAAAATCAACACTAACACTTATGATGGTGTCAACATCAACATCCTCACACAGACAAATGCAACATCCTCACACAGACAAATGCAACATCCCATCCCAGTAATGGAAAAACCTTAAACAATTATATAAGAACAGCAATATTATAACCTTTATTTGCTGCATTCATTGTTCACGTGAAGAAGATTAGCATTCTTATGACTGTTTTATTGAAAGATTACCTTTTGGGAGTACAACTTCTTGATATTTTCCAGGCTACCTATCATGATTGGAATAGATTAAGCCACATTAGATCCTCAACTGGGTAATTTTAACACTAATGTTTGTATTCGAAAATTTTGCAGGTCTGATTTGATTATTAGAAGGAAGTAGCATGTCACTGCTCACTATATGTGAACCAGTGAATTTAAGCAATCTAGAAGTCTTATAATAATGTTTAAATCATATCTATAGAATAATGAACTACCAAGAATGAGTGGCACCATTAGGAAAGGAGGGGGGAGGGGGGAGGGGAAATCATTAAAGAATGTTTGAAATTTCTCGGAAATTAAATCAGTTTCCTGCGTTTTAAATAGCATTTTGCAGGAGTCAAGTCATTTTATGAGTTTACATATCATAACTCACAACTATCCAAGTAAAAGAAAAAGACCCGGCATTATCTGCTTTCCAAACAGAAATCTAAGTAACACTATTAGCTTTCCCAACAGCACAAACTCAAAGCACCATGTCAATAATTAAATAGTGAACCAAGACAACCTGACTCATGGGATTCTGAGACAGAATATAAAAGCAGACAAATCCATCTCTTTAATAATTAACTTCAAATTTTTATGTGGCACTTCTGATGAAAAAAGGGAAGAAAAAAAAAAAAAGCATTACACACCTTGAAGGAAGAATTAAGGCAGAGTAATAATGTCAAGAAAATTACCTGCATTGCTTCTTAGAGCCTCCTCTTTTTACGTGATATCACAACCTTGGAAATGTTGGCAGCATCCTCAGCAATTTGCTGTAAATCAGGAAGAGATTCTCCTCCAGCCTCTGTGTTGTCAGCAGAATTCTGCTTACTCGTATTTGACACAGAAGAATAGTGGACGCCTTGAAGTTCTATTTTCAATTCATCATGATATTGTTTCTCAAGAATTGACATCTGCATCCATCCCAAATTTGACAGCTTAAATAATCAGGTGCATTAACCTCATATATTCAGTGACAGAACAGATAACAGCGAAATGCATTCTGTTTGTGTGAATTTGGCCTAAATAATTAAATAGGTAGCAGCAAAGGACAAAGAATAAGAAATGAAAGCAATTAAAAAAGAGGGAGTCAAAAAGCAGTGACCAAAAAAAGGAATATATATATGTATTTCCAAGAAAAAAGTTAACCCTTTCATACTTAAAAACTAGCAGCAGCACGCCCAAGCTTTTCTGTGAAAACAAGAAAATTCAAAACAAAAGGTACCTGTAGCCAGCATATTTGTTTTGAATCAAAATAGGATTCATTCAAAGTATTTATCTTGCTTAATATATTAGATGGTCCATAGATTATTCAAAGTATTTATCATCATTATATATAAATAGAATAACTGATTCTTCTTTCAGGTCTTTATGCTTATTTTTAGTGAATCCATATAACTATCTACATAATCATTCTAACAATGACAATACAAGTTTTTGTGCCAATGAAGTGGCAGGGTTGCATGATCCAGCTCTGTTTCACTATCACCATCCATATTACAGTTAATTAACATCCAATGGGAGAGTATACCTTCCGCTTTTTCTCGGCAGCTTCAATAACTTCAGCCCGGTCGATAATACCTTCGACCAATACATTCTGAGTCCCACACCTGGTATTGGAAGAACTTCTTTTTTTTTCTGAGTCCCACACCTGTGTATGTATCAACAAACTAGTATGAACCCAATTAACATTAAAATGAGGGACAATGTCTGCAAGGGAAGCCCATCAACAAAAGAAACAAATCTTACAACATGGCACAAAAGTGAAAGACTGAGAAGAAAAAGCAAAACAATAAGAATTTAAATCCTATCTATTGGCGAAGAAACAGCCTAATGAAATACTACAGTTTCAAATGACAAACAATAAATCTCACCTCACGACTCTAGAAGAATTTAATATTTTTGAAGATATTTTTACATTCCCCCGTTTCTTCGTCATCTTCATCCTTGCCTGCAGCATCTTCAACAAGGTGCATCAAAGCACCAGGTTCATTGGAGGGAAGTTGATGCTGAAGTTGGACCAGTCTAAGTTCAGACTCATCAAGCTTTGCACTTGCTTGCTTGTCCTCAACTTGCTTATATCCACATGAACTATCCGCCTGTGATTCCACCGTGGGGCCTTTAGAACTGGCATCAAAGTATCTTGACAATGCATAAAGATCTACACACCTCCAAAAGGGTCAAATATAGTAAAATAAAGTGTATAACAAAAGATATACAACTCAAGGTCTACTCAACAAAGCTTTTTTTCACGATCACTCTTTCTTAACAATAGATATCAGGTTTGAGTTTTTTCTAATTATGTTGACATTATCAAGAGAATGTAATCGATAAACCACACAATCACATGCATATGAGAAACCAATCGACAACAGAAAAATAAGGGTATGCCAACAAAAGATCCGAACAGAAAAATCAATAATTTTGAGTATATAAGTGTCTGTATCATCTTCATGATGGGAGGCAAATGCAAAATAAACAATAATGAAACTATAATTATGTCCAATAAGTAATCAAGAGCTTTGGAACAACGAAGAAGGCATTGAGATCTGATAAAAAGAACAAACCTCTGTGTCTTGGTCTTTGACTCCAATGTCTGTCTGTGTGTGATGGAGTGATGATGAGATTGACTTGGGTCAGATTCCTGCGAGGTTGAAAGAAGAATATGCTAAATTATAGGGAGGCCTTTTTATTTTATAATATGTATTTTTAAAATCAGTCGCAAAGCAATTGCGACAACAACAAACAATGTATTCTTAATATCTATTTGACCTTTTAAAAAAAAAAAGAATTAAAGCATAATACCTTGAAACTGGAAGATGATAAATGCTAGATAGTCAAATCAGAAGCTGCCCATGTCAAAGAACTTCAAAGGCAAAATATATTTCTTCTAGGCATTCCAACAAACACCTTGTATGCACCTATATCAGTGGGAATTGGGTATACAAAGTCGGGGGTGGGCAGTGGGGATTGAGGAAGTAGGAGTGATATTTGCAGAGTTAAAGAGTGAATTATACCTTGGTTAAATAACATTGGTTTCCATGGCAGAAAGCATTGGATTCCACGGGTTTTACGGAGTTAAAGACTGAATCAGCTTCCGGGTTGCACTTCTTCTTCAGCAGGCGAATCTTGTGTTTTCTTCTTTACTGAGTCTTCACGTCACAGTCGAAGGTGATATGCAATGGGCTCAGACGAATCTCAGATAGGGCTATGCTTTCTCACCTTGTCTTCTTCAATCACGTTGGGTCACTTAGCCTTTGAATTTCAATTGCAATGCTTGGGTCACTTTTTAGGGATTCCTCGACAGCTATGGATTTTTAGGGCTCAGTGGTTGGTGTTCACGTCTATGGGGGGTGAGTCAGTAAAAGAAATGAAGAAATCAAAGGGAAAGGGGAGGGAGCACAGAATCGGCAAGTGATAAAGAAGAGGGAAAAGGGATTTTTCAATTGAACGAATGAGCGAAAAGAACGATGGCTGGCTTATATTTGTTTAAAAATCAAATTTGCTACGCATTTAAAAACGTCGCGAATTAAGTTTTTATTTTAACTTTTTAATTATTAATTATTTAATTGAGACTCATATTTTTTGCAACATGCTAAAAAAACGTAAAATATTACCTTAATAATTATTCGCGACAAATATTTTAAAACGTCGCAGATAATATATTTTTTGCAACAAATTTAAAAACGTCGCGAATTAAATTTTCATTTTAACTTTTTAATTTTTAATTATTTAATTCAGACTCACATTTTTGGCGATGTACTAAAAAAACGTCGCGCAAAATATTAACTTAATAATTATCCGCGACAACTTTAAATGTTGCGAATTAAAATTTTATTTTAATTTTTAATTTTTGATTATTTAATTGATAAACACATTTTTTGCGACATACTAAAAAAAACATCGTGCAAAATATTACCTTAATAATTATCCGTGTCAAAAATTTTAAAACGTCACAGATAATATATTTTTTAGGATGAAATTTAAAACGTCGGGAATTAAATTTTTATTTTAACTTTTTAATTTTTGATTATTTAATTGAGACTCACATTTTTTGCGACGTACTAAAAGAATGTTGTATAAAATATTACTTTAATAATCATTCGCGACAAATTTTTCAAAACGTCACAGATAGTTACAAGGGAATCTCCTTTTATCGACTTTTTTTTAAAAATGTCGCAAAAAATTGTCAAAAATAGAAATTTAGAATTTTTTTGAATTTAAATTTTAGATTATTTATTTTTAAATCTATTTGCAACGAAAAATTTGTCATAAAAAATTTGCCAATTCTCCCGCCAAAAAATAATTAGGAGGGAATCGCCATTTCGTGATGTATTAAAAAAATGTTGCAAAAAAATTGCCAAAATAGAAATTTGCGACAAAATTAGAAAATCGTCACGAATAGTAAAGTTTTGCGACAAATTTAAAATCGTCACAAAAAAAAAATGTCGCAAAAAATGTTTTTTGTTGTAGTGGGAGTAAGAGTATCCATCTTAAGAGCCTAAATTTAACATTCTTCTTTGTGAGCAAGAATTTTAGGACTGTATGGTCAGTGAATACAGTAACAGAAGAACCAATAAGATAGGAACAAAATTTTTTCAAAGGAAAAATTACAACAAGCAATTCTTTTTCAGTTGTTGAATAATTCATTTGATTATCATTTAAAATTTTGCTTGCATAGTGAATCACATGTGATTTTTTTTCCTTTTTTTGTCCCAATAAAACATCTACAACATAATCATTTGGATCACACATTAGTTCAAAGGGTAGAGTTCAGTCAGAGGGCTGCATTATTGAGGCAGAAATTAACATACCTTTAATCTTATCAAAAACTTTTTGACGTGTTTCATTCTAATCAAAGATTACGTCCTGACTCAGAAGATGACACATGAGTTTTGTTATGGTACTAAAATCTTTTATGAATCTTCTATAAAAGCCTGCATGTTCGAGGAATGATCAGATATCTTTTACAGTCTTGGGAGCATGCAAATTCTCAATCAGATCTATTTTTACTTTGTCAACTTTCATGCCCTCACACGACACAAGTTGACCTGAGACAATGTCTTGTGTTACCATGAAGTGACATTTCTCTCAATTAAGCACCAGATTGGCCTCTTTACACCTTATCAACGCCTTTTCTAGATTGGCCAGACATAATCAAACGAGTCACCATAGACAGAGAAGCCATTCCTGAATACCTCCAAAAATATCTAGATCATGTCACTAAAGAAGCTTAACATGCATCTTTGAAATGTTGCAGGAGCAATACAAAGTCCAAATGACATTCTTTTGAATGCAAAGGTGCTAAAGGGGCATGTGAATGTGATTTTCTCCTGATCATCAAGTGTTATTTCAATTTGATTGTACCCGGAATACTCATCCAGAAAACAGTAAAATTCATAGCATGCAATTCTCTCTAGAACCTGGTCAAGAAAGGAAAGAGGAAAATGGTATTTCCTAGTCACCAAATTGAGTTTTCGATAGTCAACACACATTTGCCATCTTGTGACGAATCGAGTTGGTACTAGTTCATTTGCATCATTTTTTACCACTGTGATCCTAGACTTCTTGGGTACAACTTGGGATAAACTAAGCCATTTGTTATTGGAGATGAGAAAGATTATCCCTACTTCTAAGAGTTTGAGTACCTTAGTTCTCACAATTTCCTTCATATGAGGGTTTAGTCGTCGCTGCATTTGACGAAAGGGTTTTGAGTCCTCTTCAAGGTATATATCATGATTGCAGATTAACGGGTTTATACCTTTCAAGTCAGCGATGGTCAATCCAATGGCGCTTTTATGACTTTTAAGAACTTCAATCAATTGAGACTCTTGTAAATCTGTGAGCTTAGATGAAATTACCACTGGGTATGACTCATCCACTCTGAGGAATGCATATTTGAGGTCAGATGGGAGAGGTTTCAATTCAAGCTTTGGTGGCCTGTCACTTGATAAGAGTTGCTTTGTGCCACTTGGTGAGATCTCTTCAAATTTGGGAGCCCATGTCTCAACAGCATGAGTGGGACAAGTCTTTGAATCATCATCTGTTGTCTCAGATGTGATAGATTTCGATAGAGCAGATTCAGTGGGGTTTTCACAGAATGTGTTATGCAGATGTTCCTGAACCAATGACTAAATGAAATTTATTTCTCTCTCTTCTTTGTCATCTTCTGGATGTTTGGCAACATTGAAAATATTCAGCTCAAGAGTCATGTTCCCAAAGGTTAATTTCATGATCCCATTCCTGCAATTGATTAGTGCATTTGAAGTTGCTAAGAAGGGTCGTCCAAGAATAACAAGAATTGAGTTCTTTGAATGCTTTGCTGGCTGAGTATCTAGAATGATGAAGTCAACAGGGAAGACAAAGTTGTACACTTGGACAAGTATATCTTCAACAGTGCCACTAGGGATTTTGACAAGTTTGTCTGCCAATTGGAGTGTGACATAAGTGGGTTTGAGTTCACCAAGACTCAACTGCTGGTAAATAGAGAATGAGAGCAAATTGACACTTGCTCCATGGTCTAACAGTGCTTGTTCAATTCTGAAGTTTTCAATGACACACAACACAGTTGGACACCTAGCGTCTTTGTATTTTGGAGGGGTTTTGTGTTAAAGTAGGGTATTGGCTTGTTCTATTAGGAAGGCTCTTTTTTGGTCATTCTGGCTTCTTTTGATCGTGCACAAGTCTTTCAGAAACTTGACATAAGATGGAACTTGTTTGATTGCATCTAGAAGTGGGATGTTGATCATTACTTGCTTGAAAAGTTCATAAATTTTAGGTTGATTATTCACTTTCTATACTGTTTTGAGTTTGTGAGGAAAAGGAACAGGAATAGGACACGAAGGTCCTCTTTCCTCTGAAGGTTCTGGCTCTTGTTCAATCATAGGCTCAGGTTCTTTCTCAATTACAAGCTCAAGCTCAATTGGTTCAGGCTCGACTGGTGACTTGATTGGAATTGACTTAGGTTTTGTCTTTAGAATTAGCATGTCTTTGATGGTCTTGTCAATCACTTTGCCACTTCTCAGTGTAATGACAATTTGGGTTTGGTCTTGTGGAGTGTCCATGATTGAAGGATTTTCCACCTGAATTGGCCTTGTGGTGGTTTTGGTTGGACAGGAAACTTGCCCTTCTCATGCGTGGTCATGGATTGGGTCAACCTTTGGATGTGGCTTTTAAGATCCTCGAAAGATTGAGTGGTCTGAATTTTGAAATTAGTAAAAGCCTGAGTGAAATTATTGTTGTAGATCATTTGAATTTGCATGAATTGATTCAATATGTCCTTGGGGCTCCTCTTTTGTGGTGGTTGGTATGGTTGATATGCTGGAGGTCCTTGAGGTGGTGGGTGTGAACCTTGTTGTTGGTTCATGGGTGTTGGTTATGTGTTTCTCCAACTGAAGTTCGGGTGGTTTCGTTACCCTGGATAGTATGTTTCAGAGTATGGGTTGGAGTAAGGTTTTTTGAAGTTAGAAATTGTATTTGTTTGCTTCAATAGAACCTCTTTGAATGCTTGAATGGTAGGACACTCCCCAGTAGGGTGTCCTGTTAGCGCACAAATCTCACACACTTCATTTCTTGGAAAGGGGAATTGCATTCGGGGGGTTTTGCATTCCCCCGCCCCCTTGGATTATTGGCAACATCATCCCTGAAATTGTCTCGGGCATTTTCGGGTGGGTCTTGGTCTATATTCATATTTGGTCCTATGACACTTCTCACTAGTCTATTTTGATTATCACGTCCCCACATGCAAAAACATTACTTACAATTGAGAAAAGAGTATACAAAATTATGTACAAAGGAACAACGTACTTTGGCCTGTGATGATAATTGTGGGATTTATATCTATTGTCCCAAAATCACCTTCGAATTCGACACTTAGCCTTCCCCGGCAGCGGCGCCAAAAATACTTGATGGTTTTTCCTGACTTCCAAACATGAGCCCGGATTGTGTGTATATGGCTTATACGAGTTGGTGAGTGTCACTCTACATCAGATTCAAATTCAGGAAATGGGGAAAATCGTGTGTGTGAACAAAACATATGTGTACATCTATGCACTATTGGAGGAAGGACTTGAGTTGATTTGGCATTCCCATTCGAGTGAATCCCGCGGATTAGCCAACACTTGTTTCCCATTTCAATTTTCATCAAAACACAATTCACAAACCGACTTCAATAACAAAAGATTTTACACTTTTCTTTCACCAAAATCACCTTCTACACGATTCACCTCCTTTCCTAAGGATACGGCCTTGGAATACAATTCCAAGTAAAACACGACACACAAAAGTCTTCTTGCGCTTGGGAAGCATTTTTGTTCACATACATATACACACACATTTCATTCATCCACTGTTCCGTTGCTCTTTCTTTTAACATCATTCCAAGAG